ACTTAGTGACCAAAAATGCTTTGAGCGTCCAAAGCTTTGAGGTATTTCATGTGTTGCGTTTGTAAAGTACTGTTTTTGTCGATGAAAGTCCAAATGTAACTTTCAAGTTCGGTTGCTTCTGTTTGGCACTTGGAAAATGTGGGGAGGAATTAGAGACAGTCTACCTGTCATCTGAATGTGGAATTTCACACCAGAAAATAAGATTTCTTTTGTTTTCTACTGTGTTAGAAAACATGGTTTGTGGAAATGTAACACCCCCTTTTGCTCCAATTAGCAATCTAAAATCAAATCTCACTGCATTTCACCTTAGCCTAAAGATACAAACGGCGCCTGATAGGTCTTGTGAAACTACTGAAATATTCGCTGTGGCGAGCTATCAATTTGACGCCACGGCAAGATCTTATAACTCGCCGCGGCGAGATAGTCTTAGATTTTTTATTTTTTTTTTGTGCAAGTTGCCCTTCCACGCTTCCGCACGCTTCACCAAGACAACAACAAAAGAAGAAATCAATGCTTGGGTAGGCATCTGGATCATCCAGAGAGTTCACAGCAACAGCAACGCCAAGGATGACTGCTCCACCTGCGAGTCACTGGTCAACCCAAAATTGCCAGTACCATGACCAAGGCAAGGTTTAACTTTCTTTCGGAGGTCCTCTGCTGCAAAAATCCAGCCAAGGGCCCACACAAGATAAAGCAGAAGGCAGAGAGGTTCAAGTACAAGAGGGCGCATCCTCTGTACACGCTGGAGCTCATCAGGGACACAGTGAAGGAGCCCTGCATCAAAAACTTTGCCCCCAGGAAACAGCTGGCCCTTGATGAGGCCACGGTGAAATATTAGGGCACCAAGGCAAATTTCAAGGCTTCTTCTTGTCCCTAAATAAGTAATGGATGATGGGGTTCAAAATCTACGCAGTCTGCGTCTGGTACATTCCGAGGACACGGAGAAGATGCTGAACATCTTCTTAAAGATGATGGAACCGTTTATCAGGATCAACTATTCTCTGACCGGCTGTACACTTCAGTATCCCTTGCCTCATCATTTTTTTAGAGGACCTACCTGTGTGGAGCCATCACAAGATCTTCCCGAGAGCTCCCCATTGGGTTCAGCACAAACCCATAGGTCAACCCCACCCGTCACTCACTCATGACCCAGATGAGCGAGGCATCTCGAGGAACCATCTATGCTCGCCAGACGGACAAGATGCCCATGGTCCCGTGGCATGACACAAGTCATGTCATTTCTCTCTACTTGCCAACAGGGCTATAGAAATAAGAGCAACGATTTCCTCATGAGGAGTATCAAGTACACAGACGAAAAAATGGCTTCCAAGAATACCGTGAAGCTCCTCCCCATACCATAGACTATACCCCGTTTGTAGGTGGGGTCGACAAAGCCGACCACCTTCGTGCCTACCACATCTGCAGCCGACAGTCCATGGCGTGGTGGAAAAAGATTCTCCTCCTCCTCCTGGATGTATTTGAAAAAGGAACCAAAGCAAATAAAGAAACAAACAACCCCAAAAAACCAACAAACAACCCAACACCCCAACCAACCAACCAACCAACCAACCAACCAACCAACCAACCAACCAACCAACCAACAAAACAACAAACAAACAACTAAACAAACACCCCCAACACCCCAACAAACAAACAAACAAACAAACAAACAAACAAACAAACAAACAAACAAACACCCCAACAAACAANAAAAGATCTTCCCAAGAGCTCCCCGTTGGGTTCAGCACGAAGCCAGAGGTCAACCCCACCCGCCACTCACTCATGACCCAGATGAGCGAGGCATCCCGAGGAACATTCTATGCTCGCCAGAAGGACAAGATGCCCATGGTCCCGTGGCGAGACACAAGTCATGTCATTTCTCTCTACATGCCACCAGGGCTATCGAAATATGAGCACCGACTTCCTCAAGAGGAGTATCAAGTAGACAGATGAAAAAATGGCTTCCAAGAATCCCGTGAAGCTCCTCCCCATACAATAGACTATACCTCGTTTATGGATGGGGTCGACAAAGCCGACCACCTTCGTGCCTAACATACCTGCAGCCGACAGTCCATGGCGTGGTGGAAAAAGATTCTCTTCTTCCTCCTGGATGTGGCCAGGGTTAATGCCTATCCGTGCTAGAAGACAAATGTGGAGAAAGACAGGACCACGGCCATCCCCATCCCCCCAGAAAAGAAAACAAGAGAAAACAAAAAATGAGGAGAATTAGAAAAAAGTTATAAACAAAGAGAAAGAAAAAAAAGAGGGAAAAAAGAAAAAGAATGTATTTGAAAAAGGAACCAAAACAAAGAAACAAACAACCCCCCAAAACCAACAAACAACCCAACACCCCAAACAACCAACCAACCAACCAACCAACAAACAAAACAACAAACACCCCACCCAACAAACAAACAATCAAAAAAGAAGAAAAAGGCTGTGATGATTGTTGACCAATCAAAACCAGTCGACTGAATTTGACTGGGCAAACTGCTTGCCATACATTGATATTTTGACTGTTTTGGACGTTTTTGAAACCACACTTTGAATAACCACACTTTCACTCACAAAATCTAAAAATTCAAAGTGCATTCTAATTTGAATAAAAGTTGTTTTTCTGCAACCCTTCACGTGCTAAATAATTTGTGAAGAAGAAACTGTTCAAACAAAAATCTAAAACTCATAGTGAGTCCGAGGCATCTGTTACTATACTAAATCACAACAATTTCGGACGTGTAGACAATGAAACCTGGACGTAGGCAAACTTTCTGCTTTTTAGGGGTTACACAAAAATATATCATTGGTAGAAAGTTTTGTACTGATAACAGTCCAACAATCGGTGCATGAAAGGACACATTCTTTGCAAATTACAGAATTTGTATTTATCATACCTCAGACTAGTTTTATAGGATATGATGAATCATCGTTTAGTGAGACTTATTAGTGTGACTGCGGCTTAATACAAATAAGGATCTAACTGAGTAGAACCATATATGTAACATCCAAAAAGCAGTTCTCCATCACACAAAGTCTGATCCGCATGACATATAACGTACAGCGTGACAGAAAGCGAAAGAAACAACACCTAATGTCCCAATACACGGACACATATCGCCACAATGTACATGTACACTGACCTATCTGGCTCGCGGCATCAAGTGCCCTGCCACACGAACCAAACAATAATTCATGACTAGCAAAATCCATGGTTGCGAATTCAAACATGCCCTTTAAGAAGCAAAGTCCAATTAACAAGCAATTTTCTAACAACTTTTTGGTCTTAATTAATTTTGGATTTACCCTCCCCGACGTGTATTTAACACTGTATACTCAGTGTGCCCCCGGAAGCTTGTAACAAAAAAAAACACCACAAGCATACTCGGGTGGGACTTTGAAATAACTTTTTTCTTTTCCTTGAAATAACTTTTTGGTCGTTCTGAAAGTAGGCCAAATGTAAAGACATTGGTACTGTATTCCATTTATCCCGAAATTAAGTTACCCACCAGTGGCGTATCCAGGTTTGGGTGCGGGGGCAAAATCGTACATTTTTCTAGAAATGACTCAATTTTTTTTGTTTTAGAATCGCCACTACCCCTCCCCTTCAAAGAAAGGTCATGGTGTCCTCACTGAAATGCTGGTGCTCTCAATTTTCCATGAGCAAATTGCAACCGAGTGGGGGCAGGGCAGAGCGGGGATGGGGGCGGGGACTTTGCCACACCCGTTGGATACGGTATTGTTTAAATGCCGTCATCGTCTCCGACCTTTCCGCCGCGTAAAAAGCTCCCACGTATTCCTGGATCATTATCTATTTAACATATATAACAGTGTCATAACAGCAATAGACTGATAGAGTGGCCGTAAACCACACACACACACAAATATACATACATGTAAGTTAGAGAAGCGTTGTCTAGGTTCAGATAATAGTAACCGTCGTGATTTCTTTTGCCACATCACTGCCAACAAGTCAAACAAAAATCTCCATTACTAAGCAATGCTTCTTCCAGTTTCCCAATAATTTGCCCAGTATTCGTTTTTAAAGTCAACCCAGACGATTGTAGCACTTGACCTCTCGTATCTTCATACTGCATCGCTTGAGCGAAGTGAAATACCCTTTCCATCTGCTCCAAATCACTCCATGCCCTTCTTGAGCAATGCTGCCATTTCTATGGTACGGGCCGTTCAAATTAGCATCGAGACAAAGAACAAACCACCATGCTCCCTGATAATCATGTGCGCAATTCCCCATATTTGAGCCATCATTGTCGTGGTCCTTGGTCGTGAACAGTTTCCCGTTGTGAAGAGCGAGCGAATCTCCCGCTGTACTTGCAGGGTTGTATGCGCTAGCGCGGAGTCTATACTCCTCGCCCGATAGGCCGAATTCACCGTACTCTGCCCAGGCCGTGTTATCCTCCCAGTCCTCCAGGTTAACAATAAGCTGCCATTCCCCAGAGGCGGTGAGGTTATGGAGTAGACGATTCCCACTCCAGAACTCGCCAGTCAGGTTGCCAAAACCCGATTCGTACTCGGCCCAGGTGCGGTAGAAATCCCCTGAGCCGTCTTGGCGCCTCTGAACAACCATCCAGCCTCCCCCGTCGGTCTCCATGTCGCAGTACACCACCGCGCCACCTGACTCCTCATGTCCGCTCGGGTAGATGGTGTAGACGCCGTTGGTTCGGTGACCGGCTCTATAGAGCATCTGGCAGGTGCTGTTGTCAACATCAAGTCGTGCCGAACACAAGAGGGTGTCTTTGTTGCGATCGAAGTAGAAACTTCCTCCCAGTTCAACGAGGTCAACAGGACTTTCTATCCTCGAGACGTTACTCAACTCGCAAACGCCTCCGCTGGCTTGATAGTTGTAGGACGCACAGCGTGGGTCGAGAGTGCAGTCTCGTCCACACACTGCAACGGAAACACCACACTTATTCTGATAGGCAAAATCTTTAAGCGCTCGGTTTTCAGCCATATAAAAGTCCGGATTCTGACGGCTGTCTGAGCACTCGCTGGAACAAACATGAGCCCAGATAGGCGCAAAGAGGATGGCTGAAACCAAGGTTATCATCATGATGAATACGAGTATTGTTAAGGATGAAGTAAACAGATTCTTCAGACTTTAGAGGTTTTGAAACCTCTTAAAAGGGTTCGAACAGGTTTTGGTTACTAGGCTCCTTGCAACAATGAACGGTTAGACACTTAGGAGACCGAGTTTCAACCGTTCACGGTATTCAAGTTTCAGAGAACACTGAAATTCAGTTTGAACCCAGTGTTGAAATCACACTCAACCAATCTGCGGCTAAGGATTTCGACCGGAGAGATGATCCACTAAAATGCAAACTTGCAGATGTCCTTACTGTAACGAGGAAGGTAAGGCCTATCACGATCACATTATTGCTAAAATCAGAGGACAGAGTACCAATTTTCATCTTGTTGGAACTTACACACCAAAAAACGGGAGTGCATGTTTTCCCCAAAGTGAGCTCAGGCACAGAGCAAGTGTCCGGATGCTGACGAAAGTCGGCGCAGTGGACGCTTCGACAGTAGCCGGATTGATACCAGTGGAGCAAATGTTTTCTTCGGACTCGATCAGCTCTCGATTGAGTTGTGTCCAGTACTAGTATTTCTCAAGTCTCTACTGTGCCCTTAACCTCACTATATACCATCCACTAGTAGCTTTAGGCCTTATACATATTCATGAAATGCCGGTGCCGGGAGAGACAGCAATTATACATGAATGTCAATATTGACCTTTTAAATGAAGCGTTCATGGGACTTAATAATTGATTCCCCTCGAATGAGCGATGCTGTAAGTGCTCATTTACCTTCTGTTAAATGCTCGGACCCTTGTGATGGGATGATCTCCAACCAAACTTCCGACGTATACTCGGAGTAAGAGTAGCTAGCTCTGCACTTGGTTACAAGTCGCTAGGTAGTCGGGATTTGTCCTTCGGCTTCACTTAAAATACATAGACGCGGCTGCTGTATGATGATGAGTAACCTTTGCGGTCGAGTTTCGACTTAATTGGTGGTCGATCATCCTCAAATTGGGGACGACGCAACCTTCGTTTGCGAGCAGACGCACAAATACCTGCATAAGGTGTAGATCACAGCGTTGGAAATTACTGCACAAAATTACACCAAGAGACTGATTGCGCCCATTAAGTCGCGTGACCAATAGTGGGTATCAAACATCAACAAACATGAGTGTCCCCAACAACAAAGTGTGTCATAAGTGTCATTTACCTAAAATAAGGCTGACGGTCGGTTAAGTACTCAAACTACTGATGTGCCGAGTGTTTTACCGAAAATCGGCTTTATTTTTGGTAAACAACACTTAAAACACACATTGCTATTGGCGGACGACGAGGTTGTTGACATTTGATACCCACTTTAGGCCACGTGACTTAGTTTAGAGGGCGACATCGGTGTATTACCAATTAACTTGGCACCAAGTCCGATAAGCCAGCTCCTGCTAGCAGAGTCGCATGGTTACTGCGTGTGTACGCATGTCAAGGGCACTTGGAAGTCTTGACCAGACGGCCACCAGTGGAACTGCATGGAATTTCCTTACCTTGTGTAGGTATTTTTTGTCTCTTCTGTGTATAACAAAAGGAAAAGATATTGACAAAGGACAAACTGGACTCTGGCCACCTGGCAAACTTGTCCTGGTTTAAAACGGGGAAACATTAGAACACTTTCTAAGAGTTTCCACGAAATGAAACTGTTTTTTCTATATCTGGCTCAGGAAATTGGAACAAAGAAAATTCCCTCAAATACAGTAAATTAAATACAGAATTTTTCTACAACAGCATGAAACGAATTATCCAAGCGATAGATTTAACACCCGAGACTAGGAATAGGAACAAGGGACTAGGAACTACCCAAGAGGTATAACCCCAAATTTTAGGGAATCGCAGTGTAGCCTGTAAAACAAAGCAGTTCATCTTTTGTCCGGTGTTTCCCAACGATGCAATTGACCTGTTTAGCAGCTACATTTGGCATTAAAGATAAACTATTCTTTATTAATTAAATTAAACACGGTAAGATTTACATAAAAAAGAAACGTCTGTATTTTAATCAGGCATTCACTGGGAGTTGGTCATTGCGTTACTGGCACTGTACATGCGCATAATTTCAGCAACTGCCGGCTGCATGACATTGTGTATGCGAGCCACGCCCAATATATCAAGATCACAGTGAGCCAAAGTTAATCAGGATGGTGCAATGAGCAGAGATGCAAGGAGGGACGACACTGCTCCTTCCTTGCCAGAGCGTCTTAAACCAAATTCATGCTTGAGTATACACAGTACAATTCAAGGACGTATTCCACTGCAGAATATATACCAGGCACGAAATGGGACAATATATAATCCAAATATTACAAAAAGCGCAGGTGGGGATTCAACTATCGGAAAAAAAATACAAAAAGCATGCAGAGCAACACAGGACTTAGGAAAAAAAAAACCTGTAAATGTGCTTGGACATGACAGAAGCCACGACTAAGTAAGGCTGATCAAAAATAGATCACCTCCTTGAAGGCTACCCAATGACACAGAAGCCAATAAGTTTGCTACTGTTAGTAGGAGGCTGCTGTCATAATCGAGCAAGTCCTGGGCTATTCTAATGCTAAGCGAATGGGAATAAGTCTTGAGGGAAAAGGGGAGGGACAATATCACGATGGATATTACGAACAAAGGTTCCAGACCAGTGAAATTCTCTTTTTCCAGGCACACACCATATGCCTGGTAACCTGTTTATAATGAGACATATCAAGTGCCAGGCAAAATCTATAAAGGTTTGACTGGTCTTCTCTGATCAAACCTGCAAACCCACATTGCCTGTTAAAATGTGACCATAAAATTATGATGCCTTAATAGCTCTTTGCTCGTTATTTTATAAAGGACAGCGGAGCCGCTCTCGGAGTGTACCTCCGCTTGATTTAGCAATTATTTATCTGGAGTAAAATCGATGCTAGGGCGCCAAGTGCAAATTGTCTTTTGGAGGGAAAGTGTTGACGAGTTTCAGGAAGGCCACATCTTTTATGAAAGTCATTAATTGGAGTCGCTTGTGAAGCCAAGCGAAATGGAAATAAGTGGTGAGTTAGTTAGTCTGGCCTCTCCAACAACTTTGCAAGCTCAGTATTAATTTTCAATGGTTACCATCACCCATGCCCTCTCAGTCCTTACAGCTGTATATACTGTGTGTTTTAAAATGTCTACGGAGGTCTAGGAGTGCCACGTAGTTTTTCGAGATGCCGCCATATTTCATTGCAGGGCGTTGAAAAAAAAGAGACAATATGCCAACATTTTAAGAAAATCTATCTCGGGATCACCAACAGATCTTTCTTTGACTCTCTTCATTAAAAAGTATTATCTCGGTGATTGGGGTCGTTGTTTGATACAAATTACTAGTGCCATATGTCAAACTGGTTGAGTTTGTCCTCATTTAAAAGCAAAATGTTTTTTGTCATCTGGTTGTTTTCCTTTAATAAATCGAGTTCACCTTACGGATGTAAATCATTTGAATGTCGCCACCGTGGTTATGGTTTCCTTTTAATGCATTACAGAAACGACGGCTATTTGCAGGCAAATGCATACTTGCAGTTTTCTAAGGATGTTACGTTGGGGATGGGATAGATATACCCCCAGTTCCAATTTGACAATTTGGATGAGCCGCAGGACCCCCTGAAAATATGATGTCGTATGGGAATGTCGTTGTGGCAACATGACCACCTGAAAATGAAGTCAATTGAGCAGTGAAAAACAAGACGTCAAAATTCGAGTAATTCCAATATTCTCTGGCGTTTAATGAAGTAAGTATTGTAAACTGTTGGAAGCAATCGTAATTGCAATAGGAATGCATGCGAGTTTGTTTAGATTTCTGTGATACTAATCGAGCCATACTGGGCAGAAATCTACGTAGTTGATGTTTAAATTGGGTGCAAATTCTCGATCTGCACGATCGGTTGATCTTCTTGCAGGAAATATTTTTCGCCTGTCCCTTTTCTTTCCAATTCACAGTTGTGAAAGAGTGGTTCCACAAGGGAAAGTAAAGTTGGATATTTATTGCAGGATCGATAAATGGCACCGCTCGATCGGGCGATACTGTCAGTCGACCTATCTACACAAGTCAACACGTTGAGTAGATGGGGAAGTGAGGTATATTGTACACAAAATATGCGTTCAAAATAGCAAACAAGACAACTCACAAAAGCAGTTTCAGTTTTGTTCCTCTTTGTCGGGGTCGGAGTGGTATTGTCTTCTTGTTATGCACGGAGTTGACACCGATCGCGACAACGCTGTCTGGGAATGCGGTCATGCATGGATGTCAGGTGTATATACCCTATAGCGCACTAGGCCTACAATTTATGCTGCGTATAATTTTTATGTGTCAGGGGTACGAGACCGTGGTATTGGCTTATACACAAAAGTTAAGCTAGCCCACTCTGAACATAGATTTATGTGTTATCGTTTTCCACTTTTTACATATGAAGAGGCTGTGTCATTCGTTCCGAGTAGGCCCTATTGACTCATCTTCCTTCCTTCAAGGCATCTATTACATCGTGGCCATGTGAGTAACCAACAACTGCCAAGAATACATGTTTTGGCCAGCCATATTACTAATTTCACCTTGCTTTAGCAAAAGTCGTCCTTACAGACAATACAGTGCAAATGGCAGACATTTGGATTGGCTAGGAATTAATAACGAGCGTTCTAATGTCCAAATCAGAAAGTAGCATTTGCTCTGTGAGTTGCTTTCCTAATTTGTGATCATAAAATGATGCATTTTACCCTGCAGTGTGTTTTGAGTCATTTTAGGCTAACTGAAGTCATTTCAGCTGCTGAATATAAATTTCAGATATCATTAACAAATGGAAACTACCAATAAAGAGGTTTTCACTGTTTGAATTTTTCTGAGAGTCACAAAACTTGATATATGTGGCCGGCTCCACAAAAATGGGTATTATGGGACATTGTTTTTTTCAAAATGAGTTACATACACATTTGAATTGGTTTCATTATAAGCTTCAACTCGGTGTAGGTTTGAACCTTGTGGCGTTTTGCAATCCGGAGATACACTGATTTTTGCATAATCATATCGTACACATTAACAGAAGTGCTTTTAGAGACAAAGCCCTTTAAACAAAGGAAATGGAACAAGAAATCAGCCAAGAAGAAAGGCTCTCAAATAGCATGGCAACAGTCAGATTTCTTGTATGAATTGCGAAAATATTGATATGATAAAAGCCTATAACCCAAGAAGTAAAAAATTACCCTGCTCTCTACATAGAAAAGCCCTTAGTGTGAAATAGCACAGTGTCCCTTAATACCTATTGTTGAAGAGCAGGTCACATACATGCATATTCTGTAAACGTCACGGTATATGACAAAGCAAATATTGTATGTATGTTTACGGGTTGCACTCTATTTTAAGACTCGTGACCAGTGTAGTGATTTCTGGTATTGCGCAACGTACGAATAAATGTGGGATTTCCAAAGTTTAGATTGAGCGTTTTCGGTAGATTTTTGCACGTTTTCGGAAGATTTTTGCACGTTTTTGTGCGTGGATTTTTCACTTACACGTCAATGGCAAACTAAACATAGTCTGCAGTTCTGTAAGTTACCATAAATTATGAGAGATTTCACTTTTTTCACATTCAGTTTACACCCAAGCCTATAATAAAGCCTAGCTCACAGTGCCATCACGATTGTGCCTGGCGTCTCGCGAGGCATTTTGTTGCTACTTACCAAATAACTAACACTACTATGCATCTATACTGTGATGAAATTATGCACGAACTGTCACAGTTTTCAATGAAAGTAGAGTTTGTGTTTATCAGAAAAACCAATGTGCTGTGTAAAATTAAGACGGTTTAACGAAATTTTTATTTTATCTAAAACAGGTATTGTGGTTGCCATGAGACACTCTTGTCGTCAACAGCGAGGCTATCGGAGTTTAGATGAGTAAATCTTTGTATATTTTATCATGAATATAGTTTAGAAGTGGAAGTATGGAACACACATACACACCGCATCGACAAAAGCAAACCAGGGTTGACATGACGACACCCAACGATCGAGAGCTTTCCAGTACAGGTATACAAAGACATTGGTTTATCCTTAATCACACTGGACAAGCCCTTCTATTTCTAAAATGTTGTTCGGCAAATCGAAATGACGGATTGCGTCAAAACTGAACTATGGCACGCATCGGTTGTGAGCTTATAATTATGAGTTCATTAGAAGGTGAGAAATGGTTATTTCCTCTTTCATGTTTTTGTTTGCTCGATTAGAGCAAAGCCGGTTCCCATTAAAAAAGACAATGTAGCGGTGCCAAGTATAATACATGCGATATGAGAACAAATACTTTCCTTAAAAACGAAGGCGCTGTAAGAATTTTCCACGCATAAGGAGGGCAACTCAAGTTCTCCACACTCCTGGCTCGGGAATGTCACGCATGAGAGCTGTGCCGCGTAGCGGGTGCACTCAATTAAATGTATAATCAATTGATTAAACTCCACCTGAACATTGGGATTGAAAGAAGCTTCTTTCTTTTCTTTCAACAAATGGGCATGAAGATGACAGTTTATGATGACTTGAGGAATCGCTGTGAAGCATGCATTTGAAACATTTTTCCCGTAACGCTGAAAGGCATGGTCACGGCCGCATGCGTGTTCTAGTCACCCGTATCCCGTGGGCCCATAATTCTGCTCTAGAATAGCAGCTTGCTCTATCACCGACTTCATGGCGCTGGTAGGCCGTACAACCTTACATTTTATATTGATGTCAAGCTGTGCGAAGTAACCGGTATCGTATGTAGAGAGTTATTAAGTTAGGCCAATTGCCAAAGTAGAATTAAAAGCTTTCCGAAACCGGAAATTTCAGAGAAAAAGACGCAAACCACTATTATTACTTTGTGGCATTTTTGCGCGGGCCCTTTGTCGCTCTTTGCACGTTGCCGCCGTAAGCATGCAGAGCTTCGATCTGGGAGCTTTACACAATAAACACAACCGGCTCAGTAACTCACGTGTATATTTCTTATGTCATCTTTCTCGTGCTGCGTTAGTTCTTATACCATGTTATTTGACAAAGCGATTCTGACGCGATTACAAGCTGAAGTTTGAGGCTCTGCGTGCTTATGGTGATAGCGGGCGAAGAGCAGATAGTAACTACTACGACCCTGCTCGTGGTATTTTAGGCCCCAGCGCTATCAGTGAGCGCATGTAGAGGCTGATGTGCAGGCCTTGTAGGGACAGTTGGCACTGGCGGAGAAAGCGGGGGGGGGGGGAATGACCCCCAATTTTTTCGAGGGAGGCATGCCCCCCCCACACTTTTTGCAGGTTCTATAATGGGGTGGGGCTTATTGGATCGGCCTATTGATGGCTGCATAATGCCAGATGGTCTTACAACTGACCCAGCCCCCACTTTGAAAATCGTTCGTTTGCCAGTAGTGCCAGTTGGTCGCTAACATTTTCCCGGAGAATGCATTCGATGGTTGTGGAGGTGAATTCAAACAAGAAGCTCTCCTTATTGCCTCAAAAGCGGGAAGACAGAAAGGTTCAGAGACCTAGAATCGGGAAAGAGGCGTGCCGAGCATGCACCTTGTCCTTACTTTCACCGCTTCTGCTGTCTTGAATTCATCTTCAGCCTGGTCATACCTGCCCGTATGAGGTCAAACTCTAGCTGACCTTTATTTCCTATACATGGCAATATCCGTCTCTGAAATTCTTCTAATAGATAAAAACAGCAGCTGGGGATTTGTCTCGTTCCCTTGTTGGAAAGTGAGTTTGAATGTCTTTTATCCTGTCCAGGCGTCAGCGAAGAGGTACTGCGCAAACTTGCGTCTCAACTCGGACCCGACTGGGGGAAAGTGGCATCGTTCCTCGGTCTGGCCTGGGCAGAGATCAGGAGCATCAGGAGCGACAACCCGCTGCAGACGGAGGAGCAAGCTTTCCAAGCGCTCATCATGTGGAAGCATGGGCAGCCCCGGCACGCGGACCAGATCGGCACGTTGTGTTCAGCCCTTTGGCAGGCTGGTAGAATCGATCTAGCTGAACGAGTGCAAGGTACGTTCGCACTCTGCTTACAGCTATACAGCCAGCCAAGGGTCCAGTTTAGATAACCGCACAAAGGTCAAGTAGTAAGCTTGAGAGAGCCTCAAGGTATATCCGTGATCATTCTTGCTAGCAGTCTGGCCTCAGATGAGGAAATTTGACATACATACAGTGCATATTCTAATGTGAGCGCTGACCCGCTCCCTCCGGTATCTAAACAGTCTTAAGTTAGTGGATAGGACAAGATTAGTGTGCCACGCAAAAGCACAGCGAATTAATTTGGCGTCGGAAATAGATTGCAGTCAATTTTGCTTGAGTTGGAGTGCTGAGAGAACGATTTTGGAAAATTTGCAGAGCAACCATTTAATCCGAGACTGAGGTCACAAAATTGCGTTTGCGTTCGTTATTCGCTGTCGAGCCTTGCAGAAGGAGACCTTCGATTTGTGAGTGTCAGCTTTACTGTGTGATACGCCAAATCGTTTCCTTTTATGTTCATTGATTCCAGAGGGAACCAGACGCCAAACTCTTACGTATGCAGACCGCCGCTATCTGCAGCAGGGAGTAGTAGACGGGCCAAAATGTCATACTAACCCGGACGAGGTTTCGGGGGTCTACTGTGAGACATGCTCAACATTGATCTGCTACGAGCGTACTGCTGTCGATCACTACCAGCTCAAACATCATATTTCAGACATCACAACAGCTGCTCACCGTCACAGTTGCCTCCTGAGGGAGGTACTGCTCCCAAAACTCTGCCAAGAGATCGAGGAACTTGAGGAATCCCTAAAGGAGATCTCCCAAACAAAGCAGTTGTTTGTTGAACACTTCCAAGCCAAAAAGAAATTTGATGCGCTAGAAGTAATTGCTGAAGAGCACCGGAAGATGACACAACTTCGAAGGCAGCGTGACCTTCAATTTAACCAACTGGAGACCAGAGTGAGTGAGTTGTTAAGGAGGAAACAAGAATCGCTTCTGACGGTCCGGGGGATCTTGCACAATGCTTCAGCTAGGGATTTCCTGTCAGCCTATCCGAAGATCAGGAAGAAGATAGAGTTTCTGAGCTCCCAGAGGCCACCTGAGGTGGACCCTGGCCTCTCCTATTTACGGTTCCCAAGTAACCAGAGGGGCTGTCCTAGTCGATACGGTAAGGAGTTGCAACTCTGCGGCAGGCGTGACAGACCGGGAGATAGCAGCGGAGCCGGAAAGGGAATCACAATCTACGGGGCTCGAGGTATTGCAATTCTTGCAACACGTGAGATCCTGGTGACAGACCACTACAACAACCGAGTTGTCGTCTGCAACTCGAGAGGTCAACCACAACGAGTGATTCGAGTGTTAGGAAGTAAGTTTGACCATGGTTTCGAAGGCGGGTAAACGTGATTTGGAAGATTCACTTTGTATATTTCTCATAAAAGGAACCCTGTTCTATAAAAGCTCCAAGGAACAACAACAAAAAAGTTTACTGGCGAGTTAGCTTATTTCTGCATCTTTCTGTTTTCATTCCAGAACCTCTGGATGTTGCAGCCATTCCGAAATCCGATCGCATTGTGGTAGTTGACAGCACGAAATACGTCCGAGTCTTGTCGAAGGAAGGAACGCTACAAGCAAAATTTCCTACAGTTCCGCCGAACGAGGTTGAAAAAACCGAGGTTAATCTTCGGAGTGTTGCAGTAAAGCGCGATGGTACCATAGTTGTGGGTGATGTCAAGAGAAAGGTTTGGACCGAGCACAGGCCGACCGATGGGGCACTCAAGCGTACCATGCCAGTCAAGACCAAGCCTTACTTCCTGGCGGTTGACAGCACTGATAGGGTCGTGGTCAGCGGCATCGTAAGCACGGTACGCGTTCTGGACACCAACGGGATCACCCTGTTCAAAATCAAGCCAAACGTGGAAGGGGAGAGGGTGAAGCAGCTGTCCGGCGTGTGCTGCATCGGGTCAGACATCTACGTGACAATGAACAATGGCGCAGAGCACACAGGACACATCCACCACTACGACAGCAGTGGAGTGTTCGTTGGTTGCCTGGCCCAGGGAGAGCAGCTACCGCTTGGGATGGCGTTTATATCAAACAGACAGGAGCTAGCAGTTGCCAACTGGTCAGGTGGCGTCAACATGTACAAGCTTGAGGAGAGACGCCCTGATATCGGGTGGAATTCAGTCCCTTGTACAAAGTAAATATAAAAATAACCATCATAACTGTCATAAAAAGATGCATGAAATGCACACTGCAAAGTTATTATGAGAAATAAGTAGTTCCCCCTTCCTCATAAAAAGGTTGGTGCAGCAGTAACGTCATTACCCATCTGTCTGCCCGTATGCAACAATCTGACATTCAAAAAGCTGAGGGACCTGCCTCCCGCCCCCGGAGAATTCCTTAATTTACTCCTAACAAATAAATCATCATTTGCACCTTACTCTGCATTGCACCTTATTGTGCAATGGATTTCTTCCCGCATATAAAACGCAGGCTTACACGTTTAGGTTAGTGCAAAGGCCGTGGTGTATAATTAGGTCAGATTACTGCATTGTGGGTAAGAAATGTAAGCATATAATGTGCAGATGCCTCATGCTGGCAAAGTGAGCAGCTAACCAACAGATTAAGAAGGTTCATACACGCGAGATAACCACACCGGTCAAGACAAGAGTAGAACAGGTGAGGGAATGTCAAGTTAAAAGAAGTGGTAGTTTGCCCTTCAACCAGCGACCCTTTATATACTTAGACAGTTTCAAATTTATCATTTACCATAACAGTCCTCAATCCTCCACCTGTTGGAGGACTGAGGACTGTTAGGGTTAAGGGACATTTCCATAATATAGTTGAATAGATTATTTAGGCAATTTATTTGTAAACAATACTGACTTCCAAACAAGCTTATAATTAACCGTGCGTTCTTGTAACCATTCTAAACATCGTTTAATCGGCGAGCTTCTTCAGCTGTGCTTGAGAAGATATCGAATACAATGCACCAGGACCCGTGCTATAGGGAAATGCATACATTTACACCAGTCTGACGTTCCTGGTATTTTCGCACATCTGGTGTTCTTTGTTCTGCACGCGGATTTTTATCTGTACGTTTTTGAATAAGTAATCGCAAATAGCATTATTCACCGATCTGCCGATTACAATACAGGCGTCTCTCCTCCAAAGTGACAGGTAGTATAATACTGAGGGGGCTTGCGTGAGTTTTAGATGTATCTTACAAATTGTTCTTGGCAGCCATTTTTCTGGTATGAGCTTTTGTTCCACAGGGACACACGAGCAGACCTGTTGTGATATCCCATCGCAACAAAAGCAGTCACCAGAAACATGGCTGCCAAGCAGAACCTCTGTTCAAGCGGCTTGGCAAATACAGAATCAGCACCAGGCGTGTCAACTTGTCTTGTTTACTCAGAGTTTATTTCCTTGGTAAAAGCTGTGAGTTCAGGTGCAACCCGATTTTCTTTTTGGAAAGCTGAGGACGTTTGAAATTTCTCGTCGTGGAATCAAAGATCGATATGTTCAGGAAAAAAATATTGTCACAAAACATACCTTCAAAAAATACAATATTTTAAGTTAAATTATGCATTTCTTGTATTTTATATTGTGTTTGTTGGTGTTTTGTTTAATATAGTTAGAGTTAATACTGTACTGCCTTTAGTCATTTCAGGATAAAAGGCTGATCAAATGATTTGAGTTTATTTTAGATGTCAGGACAATTTCCTCTGTGCCTTCCCATTTTCTACACAATATGACTTAGGCCTAATAACTGACATCAGTCATAAGATTCGAATAATCATTTCTGACTACAGGAAATTGTGTTAAAATTAAGTTGGCTATTTCATCATTTGCGGATGAGAACTTTGGTTTTCATGAATTTTATCCTTCAAGATTCCATTTTTTCTATACAACATAACATTGTAACAGGGCCAGATCGCGGTCTAAAAGGCTTGACGGACTCGGGATTTGGGGGAGACGAGACGGGACTGACAACACTTCACAGACTCACGACGAGTACCAGGACAGACAAACACAGAAATAATAACACACCAGATTCCTCTATTATTCTCAAACCGATTAGCTTTAATTTGTCTCCCTTTTCTCACTTACATTCTTCTTGATTTCTCCGACTTCTTCCTGCTCTTATGACCAGTGAATAACACGATATCGTAGGACGTCTTGCCTCTTGTCTGTTCTGCTAGCCACTGCCACACGCTGCCTGCTGCGAGCGCGAAGTCTAGCGGTGACCTGATTGGCCGGCATCCTCTCAGGCGGCGATCACGCACTGATCATGCGCCCTGCATGCGCTTCGCCTCGCTCGCTACAACATGATATGACCTATACCTGACGAAAGGCTATATAATTGCTGTAGGTTCGTTACGTCGAATTCGCGATCGAAGCAGCGGGTAATGGTAAATTTAGCTGAAAAGCAAGCCACTAGACTACGTGCATTGGAGAAAATAAAAGAAGGGATTGCCTGTTACCTATTGGCGATATACATGTCAGTCTCGAACGACCGGACAAGGTTTCTTGGTGATTGATTCATCAAAGTGAATCTAAAATATCTCTTTTCAAAGTAGGGAAGCCCTTAGCCTCACAGATTATTTGTAGGAAAGACTGCTCAGTAAAAACCTTCTGTCTTGCAAACTGAAATGCTGAGCAAAATTACGTCTTTTTGACGAACAAATTCATGTGGAAAGCAAAACTTGGTTGGTACCCATTCACAAGATATTATGCACTGTATGACACTGAATGGTATACTGTTTTGGCTAAGCAAATATTTTTTCCCCAGCAAATCTCTGCACTAGCAGCAACTTCACCAAATCGATCCACGTCACCGGATCTAATAAGGCCTTGAATGCAAAATGCCAGCGAAAAATCAAGCTGTAGTACTTATTCACCTGAAGATCTTCAGCATCATTTTTTGGGTCATAGGCACAGAAAAGGAAAGACATTATATAGGGCTGACTTGCGCCATAAAGTGGGTGTTGGAAGGGAGTAATATTTAGGATATCCGTGGTTCGAATCCTGGTTGATGTTTTAAAAATTTCTTTTCCCGTTTGAAAAGGTTAATTCTGCAAAGTTGGAGGCCTGTTTGATTTACTGCAAAAAACTGTACCTTTGAAGTATCTTTTGTTAATGCGAAAAACCGCTAACTTTAACGCGATGTCTTACTTGCATTTTTGAGCCCGAGTTATTCTTATGGCACTCATACCATAGCATACGATAATATATTATACTACATTGTAATCTGCTCCAAATGGTGTCATGCTGCTTTAATTTAGGAGTCTCGTTTATTAAGTCTCGTTTAACAACAGTCATTGGATCGGGTGTCCAGGTTGAGCGCGTTTTGCAACTTGTAGGCCCATCATGCGGCACTTTGGGCTAGTAAGCTGTAGGCCCTATCTACTTTTGACAGGTAAATATTGTTGCCGATACCTTTTACCATGATGTTTCTCATGTCATTTTCTTGATCATGAGTGGCGTTACTATACCGGTGAAATTTCGGGGAGGGCATCCGAGGAGAGTTTAATTTTCAAGGTGTACAGAAAGCAAATCTGTGGCTTGTCCATAGGTTTTATACATTTCAAAATAGTAAACGGGGCAAGTGGCAACACTAGTTCCGCCATGCTAGATGGCCACGTTTTGACGCCTGTCCCGGAGACCATAAAACATAAACATCATTACTGAGTTGAGAAGAAACGGCACTGAACACAAAAACTCTCTGACAGTCACACTTTATTTCCGTTGAAAATATCTCGGATGTGTATGTACAATATGAGGTCCAAACCTGAAAAATGGCTTCAAAACTATACAACAATTTGTTACAAACAACCCATTCGATACTATACAAAAGGCGAAGCGTTCATTCATTTACAAAATATGCAACACAATGTATGCACACCATCGGTAAGTTCTTGGCCTGACAAAGATGCAGATTTGAAAACTGTTGGAATGCCAACATAATGAGGAATCCATCCTATAAAATTATCATTGTCATAAAAAAGTTGTCTAACCTTCTGAGTAATATGCACGCACATACACCACACACAGGATTACACACACTTTCGTATACAAACTATACTTGGGACATAAATCTTGGATTTTCACGGCGAGAGTAAGGCCTTCTCGACGTAAAGGGGGCAATTTCTTTTGTTGGGAAGTTGGAACTGCGCTGTGCGGACAAAAAATGTATCCAAAATAACGTTTTGGCAAATTTGGTCCCTCAAACGTCTATAGTTCAAAAAGTGTGTATAGTTGTCCCGTTAACCGGTAACAAATATCCGTGTTCTTTCATGCTGGGGGGGGGGAGTTTGTGGTGGTATGGACACAGTGGAGAACAAAGACAATATGTGACTTCATTAAACACTGTTCATGCGTGTCAGACTACTGACACAGGCAGATGAAGTCATTGTAGCACGCGAGGAATATCAAATTTTCGAAACACCCACTTGAAATGCTTGTAGGCCTATAGCTGTGCTGTTTATAGGAAGACAATGGTAGGGCACAATGATACCGGTATGTCTTTGCTCTTCAGTTGGTGTATTTAAATACAACAGATTTGCATACGTCTTACATACGTAGGGGCACGCGTAGTAGCCACGAAATCTGTCCATCCAAACGACACTCGTATGTTCGACTGGAATTATGGGAAACCTAACATTAAAGGCGTTTTTTTAAAGTTGGGTTGTTTTAACAGATGAGTGAATTGGAAAGGCATCAAAGTTGACAAATAGTTCGCGGTATAACTAAAATTAGGTCATTTCGTATCAGATTCATGATACATCAGTTTGCTTCTGTCATTATTTTTCGAAATGGGTAATTCCAGAAATTAGGCCCAAAAGTGTTACAACTGACCTTTGTGATTTGACATGGACATACACGTATCACCGGCATTAATTTCAAAGTATTACTATTTGTTTGGCAGGCAATTTGCATTAATTCATCACTCTTGGAAATTAGAAAGTGTGTTCTGAATTTACAAATCATGTGTCCGATATGACAGGGACACGAAAAAAAATGGACCCCTAATTTCTGGACTTACTCGTATAGACCTTTTTCGAGTGATGTCACGATCGTGCTGGACCTCTGATGTGTTGTGATGGCAATGAGTGCATAGTGTTGTGATGGTAATCTATTTATTCAAGATAAACCAGTCAAGAATGCAGCGTTCGCACGTGCGCTTGTACGTGGTTGAAGCTGCCCGTAGGATTATATACGATCACCGTGGCCAAGGCAGTACGGTCTTTACGTGGTGGTATTGTTTACATTTAGTCACGTGGGTGAAAAGGTCTATTGAATTTAACTGTCATCTTAACCGCCTCCTTCTGGCGCTTTGCGTGCGGTGCAGCCACCTGAGACCATCTTGCGAGCTGGGCTACCAATAGCTGTTGCCTGAGCAGACGCACGAATCACGTGGTGACTTATTGAAAGCTCTGGTGTAACCTTTAACCCAAACTGTTCTGAATCCAACAAGCATATGCCTGATTTCAATGGTCCCTATGCACCCAGTACCAATGGTACGTGACTCGTAAGGTTCAGGATACCCGTGGTGTGATGACAAATCATCCATAACGTGGGTTTTCTATTCTTTGGGAGGAGGGAATCATTTTGAATGTTTGTTCTTATAACCGTCTACTGGAGTAGGAACAAAAGCTGACATTTTCCTCCACAATGAAAATCATTCAATCATGAAAGAACTCAATTGTTACAAAATACAATCCTTCTGTATCAAATACTAGATGAAAATTTCACGAGTAAAAAAAAAATCAGCATTCTGCAACAATCTCGACATATTAATCTCTAGAAACCACAGTCTGCAAATTAACTGAGCAAACAATTCTAATAACCGCCACATTTTGTTTGATCACACAACTAAAAATCTAAATCAAGCACAGTGAACTTTCATCATTGCCTTAATCACTATTATAAATGCAAAGATCGTGTAAATCCCAGCCCTTAAGATAAACCAGGCTAGAACACATGAATACAAGCTGGTTTCAGCTTGGGCTAGCGGTTCCAATAAATTGATAATAATGCCTTTCATGTGAGCTACTGGAAAAACCGATCTTCTCAACCCCTTCAGATTAACAGTTATTCTGTCAGCAAGTTATCTGCAAAGTCTCGGTGCTATCAAAACAACATCGATAGACAACGGCTGGGAAGTCAATGGATTCACTTCATTCAAACTTAATAGTTGCATGCATGCACTGTGTTGTGTCATGGCTTCAACCGGATGGTGCAATGTGTCTTTTGACTGATCTCGTATACCTCCCAACTATCTACTGATATTCCTGCTAAGAATTCTTCATGTCAATCACAAGACGAAGCCTTCAGGCTCCTGTAGAATTTCCTCTCCCTTTGTCTACCGTCTCCACCCCTCCCGTGGGGAAAACCCTAGATGAAACTGAAAGCTCACCAATACTGAAGCAAATGCCCAGAGAAAGTTCAAACCAATCGTTGAAATCACATGTGTTCATATTACAACCTGTCCCCTCCTTCCAGCCTCCAGTCGATCAGCCTCGTCAAAGCCCACACAGTCAGTCAAATCTCTCGCACTCTTATCTGGTTGTTACTGTCCAGTTCTAGTCTGGTGGAGGGCACTCGGCGCCCGCTGCCCTGCGAGAAGTTCGTTGCTGGTGCGGACCGGCCAGACAGTGGAGTGGCAGTGGAGCTGAGCAATGCCAACAGTCAAGGGGAAACAAGCAAGGAGAAATACAATTGATTCTCGTTAATAAAAGCACCCTTAAGACAACATCCGGCTTATAACAAGGAAATGTTTAGGGTCCCAATCTTCTGTTCTTCCTTGTTTTCATCCCAATAATACAAAGTTCCTGTTGAAACAAAGTAATCTGCAAAGTTCACAGGACCCCTGATTAATGAGGTTCACCTGGACATGCAACAATAAAAACACTAATAATGCATTCATTAATTAAGTGTAACTTCCATACGATTATGTTAAGATGCTGTGTACAATACACACACTAAACCACAATGTGGTTGCACCAAAGGTATGCTAAAGGTGTCTCAGGCAGCTTTCCCTTTATTGTTAAAGACTGTTTCCGTGAAAGAGTACAACAAAACATGAAACAGCCACCAAATTTCTAGTTATGACCCATCTTTCTTAAGATGGTTTTGTTAAAATCGATCTTGGAACCCTTCTTAGCAAAGATCAATCTTAGACTTGGGACTCATCTTAAGCCCTGAGATGAGTTGCCAAGATAAGATGAGTTTCGTGAAATCGGCCTTTGGCCTCACTTTGCTTGCCTTACAAAAAACAAAAGATGTTGACTAAGTTAAACAACGGCTTGTATTTAGCCATAAACTATGACAAACTTTAGCAAAACTTAAAAACAGTGTGGTGGTCATGTTACATCCACCAGTTTTTCCTTAAAATATCGGACTGAAAAATTTCAAAAATGCTCTGACACATTTCAGAACCACAAGAGTCGAAACAACATAATAAGCTACAGAGTTATACTCTTAATGTCCCCTTACACCTCATCTGGAAAAGGTTCAAGTGTTACCACAACATTCCTCAAGTTGGTGGAATGAAACATTTCCAAAGGAAGGGAGGGCACCCAAATGGGATTGGACCCCAAAGGCACAAGCAGGGCATCATTTTAATGTTAATTATTGCCTTGAAAGTTGACAACAAAAGAAAAAACTGGGAAGAAATGGAGGTGAGATTAAGGATACGTAGTTGGGTTGTCATCCCGCCGGAAGTCCTTCACCCAGTCGCTCATCTGCTGAAGCTTGGTTTCTGTGGAGGTGGCAGGCAGGGATGCCTCATTGGGGAGGGCATGAGTAGGGCTGGTCTGGGCAGACTGGCGGAAGGCTCGCAGCTGGTCCCGGGCAGAGACGTAGCCCCCAAAGGTGGGCTTGCCAAGAGACGGATTGGGCACGCCTGGACGGGACGCTGTGGAAGCGGTAGACAGGCCATGGCCTATTCCAAGACAGACAAGGTGATTTTTTTTTAACAGATGTGTCAAATGTACAAGATAGAAATGTTAAGCCCTATTTCCAAGTTGATATTCAGCAATGAGTCTTCCGTAGTCTGACATTTTCAGATTTGAGGACACACTAAGAACCAGCGTTTACAGGTGAGCCCATCACATAAAAAATTTTGCCAGAAAGCAACAGGGGACGAAAAAGCGATGCCTGGGTGACAGTTCCTTCGTACCGCTTGTGATTTGATTCCAGACGTGATTGGTTATGAACTTGACCGTATCACCATTGAAAACACACTCTTCCCTCTGCCCCTTTCTCTGATGGAGTACTTTAATAGAAAAGCTACATGTTACACCAAATTTACCAGGAACTAAACATCCTATTTTCTAAATCAACATGAGAAAAAAAAAAGACTTGAAAGGGGAAGGGTGGAACCGGCTCAACAATTCTCACCTCCAAAGTAGGTTTTCCATTTCCGTTCTAGAGCCTGTTCAGCAGTTTCCCTGGGGGCGGATGTTCGGAGCGAAGACACGTCAAATTTCACATTCGGAACAACTTGGTTCTGTGCTCTGATACCAGAGGACCAACCTTGTGGATAGCTGGAAGTGGTGGCCAGCCTTGGGTGACCCCCTCCGACCGGTCTGGAATAGCCATTGTAGTCTGAGACCGGGATGCTCCCATATCCATTCTCCTGATGTGGGTAGCTGTAAGGGGGTCTGGAATGAGACCACTGCGGTGCACCTTGGGCTGGCAGTGCATTGTGGGAAGGCTGACCGGACACAAGATGGGGAATCGGCCCGGAGGCGTGTGATCCTCTGGGCAGGTGCTGGGTACCGGTGTGAGTGGCAGAAGGCAGTACACCAGCAGACATACTCTGCCTGGGGGAGACTGGAGTGACCATGTCACTGGCCGGATTGTCCCCGGTGGACGGCACCCTGGCCTGAGCCTGCTGCTGCAGCAGGCTCATGACGTTGGACAACTGCTGATTGATGATGTTAAGCGACGAGACCACGGGGTCCCCAGCAGTGCCAAGACTGCCAGTCAGTGGATTCTCACTGCTGGGGGCAACGCCTGGACCAGGCCCAGAGGCTGATGGACCTTGCCGCTGGTCTCTGAGTAGCTGCTTCAACTGAGACAGCACAGCAGAGGCCTGATTCTCTGGTGAGGTACCTGTGATTCAACCATTCCACAAAAACTTATACCATTGTTTTTGCCACTATCATATTCACGAACCTTCAAATTAGCACCACAAATCCTGTAATAGCTACCACATAAACAAAAGCACTGTCATGACGCCTCCGTCGAAAGTAGTAAAATTACTACTTAAACCTTATTACTTAAAACTGAAATCAACAGTACGAGTATGATTCAACCAAAGAAATAAACTGATTTCGACATGAATCCTGAATATAGTTTAAATCTTGATAGATTACTATAGCAACACGGAGAGAAGAAAATCTGAGGAAGGCAAGTTTCATCTCGCTGCTTTGAAAAATTTGTCAAGCATAAAAAAAATTGGCTAAGCAGCCGTGGCAATGTATTAAAACTGGCTGTGCATGTACATGTAGTTGCATCTCAATGATTTCTGCTTAGTGTTTCTGTGTCACATGACCTCTTTCCAGGGGGTGTCACTCAATACACATACGTATTTTTGGTACAAAGTTTAAAAATGAATCCCCATACCTTCGACTGGGACACACCTACCTGATTTGGAGCCCTTCTCCTCAGGGTCACTCAGGCTGGTGTCGCTGCCGGTGGACGAATCGCTGAGTGACAGGTTGGAGACAGAGAGGTGTGGAAAGTTGGCATCCAGCTCACTGCCTGAAAGCTGAATAGGGAAAAAAGGGGAGCGAAAGGTTCAAGAAGAGACAGAAGAATGAATCAAAATAGAGACAGATGAAGTAGTAGAACATTTAAATGAGAACTCATGACGTTCAGGCTGTTACTCTTTTTTCGTTAACTATTTGCTGCTGGGTGGAACTTGAAGTTGCATGACGTAAGCCCGCGAGATTTTCAAGATTTTCCATTTTCAAAATTCTTCAAAAAATCACACACGTAGCTTCATTTACTGGACGTTTACACCCACATGAATAACTGTCTGGTGACTACTCTAATCTGACAGACGACATCTACCGACGCTCAAGTATTTCAGTCAGGCCTGCCACCTGGTAAAAAGACCCCAGATTGTGCAGGGTTATGTAACTTTCTTTTGTTCCCGAAACTTGCACAATGTGCTACTGGTGTCTTTTCAATGGGGACCAGATTAGTGTGCAGCGTATGCATTCCTCATCGCTGGAGCGCTTTAGTCCTCGGTGGTAATCCGCTCCTGCTGAATGCCACAAACAGTGGTATAATCTCTCAAAATAAGGACGGATTTCCTCCGCTATTGACAACTGAAAAAAAATGTTGGCAATTCCCAGCAGCTCTGTCTTTTGTTCCAAGTACAGCCTTTTGTTACAAGACCCAGCTCCTTTGTCTGGTTTCGGGCTCCTTGGTTTTGTGTATAAAGCCTATGTGCCCGAAACCATGCTCCCTGGCAGCATATGCTTAAAACTCATTCACGAATGGTAGAAGCCCAAATGAAGAAAAGAAATGAGAATGAAGACTGTTACATGATGTAATTATATGTTTGAGGAAACAAAAACAGATGACATTTACAATTCAAAGGGGATATTAAAATGGTAAGTCAAGACCTAAAACCAGTAGAAGATCAACCCAAGACCTCTTGTCTGAATTCAAGTCAAAGGCTATTCAAATGAACTGCAACAAAGTATTCCTTAGGCAGTAATAACATGTACTGAGTTACTAACCAGTACTGAGTTACAGGTTTTGGGACTGGTCGTTTGACTGGTCTTGTGACCCGTCTTGCAACTGGTCTAGTGTTTGGTGAGTCAGGTTGGCAAGGTACATACATGTATGGTTCTTTCCTCGCCTTCCACCTGTGTGGTCCCGGGTTCGATTCCCGGCCCGGTCCACATGTGGATTGGGTTTTCAGTCCCTACCTGACTCTGTGGGTTTTACCCAGACTATTCCTCTGGGGGTTTCCTCCCACCTCTGAAACTGTAACTGCTTCTTACTGTTTCCCCTTTACTGATGTTGTTGAATGTGGGCCGTTTGGCGGCTGCCCGAGGCACCCTTGTATGCCATAGGCTCAACCATGTTTAAATGTATTCATTGTTCCACGCTTAATGTCTTCATCGTACAGCGCATTTGAACATATGTATATGAAATTTGTGCTTCAGAAATGAATAAATTATGAATTATGAACTGGTCTTGTGTCAAATATTGTGACTGGTCTAGTGTCTGGTCTTGTGACCAGCCTTATGACCAGTCTAGTGTCTGGTCTTGTGACCAGCCTTATGACCAGTCTAGTGTCTGGTCTTGTGACCAGCCTTATGACCAGTCTAGTGACTGGTCTTGTGACCAGCCTTATGACCAGTCTTGAGACTGGTCTTGTGACCGGATTGCCACTAGTCTTGTGATGGCCTCTATTACAACATATCAGAGTCACGTTCCATTCCTGCAACTGATAACTCACCCTGTCTTGCATGGAGGCCTCAAGTTTCTTGATCTTACTGGCTTTCTCTCGGATGAGTCTATGACCAGTGGACATGTTGACCATGGCCTTGTCAAGTTCCAGAGCTTCCTAGGTTGGGTAAAGTTCATAAATTGGTAGATCCGGGGGAGGGGGTGTGAATGCAGACAGGGTCACGCCCCACCCAAGGCTACTTTGAGGATGATTTGCTGGGAGACAATATTTTTTCTCTTCCCTCCCAATAATGCAAACACAACAATAGCCACACACGAGAACCGCTTTAAGAAATTCTCACTTTTCTCTGTGTGTCAGGTGGCAAAAGTGGCCAAGTTCAATAAATTGCCTCTATTAAACAAGTGCAGTTGACCAAATCATATTTGGATGGGGTCTACTCTTTAAATGTCAGTGTGAAAGAATGATTCACTAGGTGGCATAAGATTCACACAGCTATCAAAATACCCGATAAATAATATTACTCGTGAATCTTAAATGGAAATAACACCCTCATTAAACGAAAATTGTACATTTCGAGGTAAAATCTGACTCCAGCTGAGGGGATGATCCTGCAAATTGTGGCTTCCCAGACGAAAAGAAGGCAATATGGGAGGGGTCTACTGGCAAGAGAAGCCATGTTTGTCAAACTCCCTAAATGGACAGGTGACGTCTTGTCTTACCCTTTCCAAGCCAAGTCTGACGTCCTCCAGGATGGATGCTCCGGCCGGTGACAGCCCCGCCGTCTGCTGATGCCGCAGGTCCCTCCTCCACTCCTGCCGTGCCTCACCCAGCGCCCGCTGGCGCTGTCGCAGGATGTGGCGCTGCCGACGGAGGAACTCTCCGGCCCGCCGGATGGCACCGTTCTCCTCTAGGAGCCTGGCCTGGGCATCCCTACGGAAAAATATGGAACACAACCGTTGCCATCCAGTCTCCTTTGTCTCTCTATGTCCAAAACCAAAAGCTTGTTCCAAGGCTTTGAGGTCCGACAATAAGACCGACAAAAATGATGAGACTGTGAGGCCTCGCATTAGCAGAGCAAAAAGTTTCCTTATGTGGGCACTGGAGCACCTGTCGCATGCGGTGTAAAAGTGACACAGAACAAAGCTGAGCTAGTGTAGGGTGAAACTCTCACTTCATGAGATGTAACATGCTTTTCTCTACTTTCGGAGACGCTGAATCTACAACTGCTCGGCAATGCAAACACACACAAATAAAGAACTAACTCCAGCCCAACATGCCCAAATGTGCTCCCTTTAACCAGTCTGGATGGCATGCATAAGATGGCAAGACTTTGATTTTATGCTACACCTTCCTTCATGCTATCGAGTTCGCCACCAAAGGCTTATTAATTACACGGCTGCTGACAGGTCAAACTTAAGAGATCAAGGGGAGGGCTCTTTTTTTCATAATTAATCAGGGATGGCGCACAGATACGGACAAAGTCTGCAAGTCCTCTACACAGGCAAGCTCCAACGATGGCTTACATCTGATGCATGCGCTGTCTGATTTCCGCCTCGGTGAAGTCTTCCGACTCGTCCGAGTCCGTGGCCAACTGACCCCACGCCTGCCGTCGGGGATTTCTGCTCCTGTGCTCTGGCTGAGAAACAAACCCCGCAAAACTGCATTTTGACTGGAGACGATAATGAAGCCTGTCTTTAGGCTGGTTCACATTTCGGGTGAGTCAGAGGACAAGGGAGTCTCACATCAAAATATTTGCAGTGAAATGCGCCCACTTTTGCCAATCTACAGCATGACCATTTGACCTTCAGGTAAACGGTCAATTATTTGTTACAATATTTATTCATATCCGCCGTACACAAAAGGAAGCAGAAAAAACAGAGAAAGGAAAATATGAATGAGGAAGCAGTTTTAAAACTGAAGCCATGAAAAGCCTTTGCTTGTCAATGGCGGATGCTAATACTCTGAGACACTCAAAAAAGTTCATGTTCAAGACAATGTTCGCTTTCACTCCAAGTATCACCCTGCTTCAATAGGAGGAAGTGCCATCAGTTTCTCTTATCCTGAGCTCTAGAATGCCGAACTAAGTTGCTACCAATGAGATTAGAATGGGGGAGGGGATGTGGAGGAGTTGCTTGTGGTGGGTGGAGTTGATTGGGGTGGGTGGGGTGGAATAGGGTGGAGTTTGGGGTGAGGGGTGCAATGAAGGGGTGTGGCCAGGTTGGTGCAGGGTTGGGACACATTTCAAAACACCAGGGTGAAAACAAGCTCTCTCAACCTCTGACCTTTAACCTTTCCATTTGTGATCTGGGATCGATGTGATGATCATGTTTTCAGTCTGTGCCGAGTACAGTGTGTGCTATCTAGAATATCCATCAAGGTTTACCCTAGAGCCAAACAAAAGCACTCCTATTTTCACTCTTTTTGAGTGTTTCTTGAACATTCTGAGCTCAAACAGCGCTTTGGAAGAATCTTCAGTACTGAATTTTAAAAGAAGCGAGTTTCAGGCTTTACCAGTCCGGCAATATCGGTGTCGCTGCTGCCATAGGTGTAGCGTGAACTCCTGTCGCTTTCACGGCGCCCTCTGGAGACTCGGTCGCTTGCACGTCGCCTCGCAGGTGCCTGGTACTCCTCATCCGAACCTTCTAAAAAGAAGAACAAAATCGTGTTTTTACAAACAGCAATGCTTGGCTTGCGGCTGAAGGTGCCTCCCAAAGAAATGCGTTGACAGGCAGTCGTTGCCAAAGGCACTTTGGCCTACTTCAAACAGCTCTGAGCCCCAAAGAGATTTGCTTGAAGATTTAAATATTTAAATAACTGATTGATTATGGAATATTCTTTGCTTTTCAAAGCACACGTAGAATATTTGGGAGTGAAAATGAGTGAAATAGAAAGGGGAAAAAATCTAATTATCTAGCGGCATTCGAAAAGCATTCAAAATGACTTGGCTTAAGTCTGCTTTAAAATACTGACATTTTTTGGCCTGTGCACAAGAACATCTAAGCTATCAACCTGACCAGAACTGACAGGAACTGAGATTTTCCTTGCCAAGGGCTGTTAGCAGGCGATATCCTTACCCAGCAAGTAATCTTCTCTTTCGGCCGGTGTACGCAGGAGATCTCTGGGATGAACCATCTGACGAACCTGTGAATATTAATAGAATGAGATTTGGGTGTGGCAGGAGAGGTCACGCAAACTGTTTCCCCTGAACCACAGACATGACCAAATGGATGACTCTCGAGGTGCTTGTTGTTGGCCAAAAATCAAGCCTTTTCTATTGTTTGTGTCACATCTGAGCTGAAGTGTGCATGCTCAAATTGAGGCAAAGCTAGAAATGGATTCCCATGTTTGCTGCCACCAAGAGTCTCAAAAGTCTGCTGATGCTACAAAGATAACTACTTGTAACTTGCACATTTTGATGCAAAGCAATTCAAAGTGCAGCAATGTGCTTCGCGTATAGAAACACATGCTTAATAGTGGACTTTCAGTACAGCAAAAACTGGCTGGGAACCAGTTGCAAGTAGCATACACTGCATTGGCATTTGGGTATGGTAACCGGTTTTCGCCCCCCCAAAAAACCCATTTCATGCTTAAAGTGAACTGCTGCACTTTTGCATTTTTATGTAACTGGCACATGTCTGACGAGTGAAATTGCTGACAATAAGGCCCAGTCCCAATTAGTTGGCTATGGCTAGATATCACAAACCTGTCAATGGGAAATGCAACCAGTGGCTTCCACTGACCAGCGGCTTCCATAAGCACCTGCACTATTTTAAGCCTCAGCCACATCACTTGGACACGGCTGCAGTCAAGGGAAACCCTGCTTACCCCTTTTGAAGGGGATGGTGTGGGCTGAGATAGCTCCTCCAAGTTCAAGGCGCCGGTGCTGGGTGTCTTGGGGACTCTCAGGGTGGTGCGGGGTGAGGAGCCTTCGTCTGCCTGGTGGTAGTGACCGTTGGTGTACGGCTCATCGAGGTCCTGCCCATCCTCCTCGGAGATTCGCTGGGGCATCCTACAGTTACAGACATGGACAAAGAGTTTCTTCCTTGGGGAAACTGCCCCCTCATTGCAACACGGCTGTTTCACAAAAGTGCACCACCAAGAGTTGTTGGCCAATCACAACGCGCAAAATTTGTCGGCCCTTTCCAAACGCCCACTGGGTCGACAAATTTCACGCATTGTTAGTGGTCAACGCGTTGCTAACTCTTGGAGGCGCACTACTGTGAAACGCCCGTATCAGTTAGTTTCTTCTCCACATATAGGTCTATATTATGGAAATGTCCCTTTGATGATGAATTTGAAACTTCGTCTAATTAGTATAAAGGGTCGCTAGTTGAAGGGCAAATTACCACTTGACATTCCCTCAAGTGTTCTACGCTTGTCTTGGCCGGTGCGGTTATCGTTATCTCACGTGTATGAACCTTCTTTATCGTTTTTGCAAACTCTTAGTAGCGCTCTAATGTGAATAGCCCGTATTCTTGGTTGGTGTATTGAGAAAAAAGGTTTTCAAATGCAAAGCTCTGCCAATAACGTGTCACAAGAAATATACATATACGGTATGTGTCCAATGCATTTGTTTTTACAGGGAACCTTATTCTTCTAAGCAAATATTTGATGTGTACTTTGGCGAGTTGCCAATGTTTCTGTGAGTCAATGATACAGGCATCTGAAAAGGGTGGATTCAGGACCAATTTCTTTTGGGGGGGGGGGGGAAATCATATTATTTGGGGAGGCCAAAAACGTTTGGAAACTTTTTCAACTTTTATGGCCTTTGGAGAGAGGCCACATTTTGATAATTTTTACACACTTTTAGAAGGAAATGAAATAAAACGGACCAGCAATTTGCTTTCCATTATTAAATTAAAAAAATTGCCCCTTTATTGGCCATTTTTCAAAGAGCGGCTTGCTTTTCCACTGTGATTTTTTCTCTGACTCTGAAAGTATATCTCATTCGAACCAAACGAAGACGGCCCCAAAAGATGGTACTTATGAAGGTGAAGCCAGCAGGCAAAACTGTTGACACATCCAAGGTTTGATAAAAAGCTAAAGTGTCTCAAAGCCCGGAACTCGGCCAAGAGGGCTCCTTGGGTCAGAACTGCACTGCGCTGGTTCCCAAATAACTTTGAAAAGCATGCGTTATGCTCGCATCACTGTCGGCAAAATGAGCGCTCCTGACCAACATGGCTCTTTTCAACCAATGAGGGGGTGCTTCTGCTCCAGGTGTATAGTTTACCTGGGTGACGTCTTGGCCTGCAGCTTCAGTCTCTGCACTGTGGCAAGCAGGTCCTCTTTCTCCTTCTCCAGCTGCTTGGATCGTTTCCTCTCCTCCTGGATGGACTCCAACAACTCCTGTCTCTCCTCCTGGATCTGCTTGACCGCCTCTGGGTCCATTTTGGCCACCTGGCTGGCCAGCACCTCCTGTCATCGTGAAAACACATGTTGTTGGAAATAACAGTTTGCAACAGTGTTTTGACGGTCTACTATTCCGGCCTTGTCTTTCTAGCGTATCTTATCAAAATGGAAAAACAAGAATCGAGCAAAAAAAAAATGACAATCTGTTTTCTAAACCTGCTTTTGACAAAATATTCCTCACAACTTCTGTGCTGATTTTAGCAGTATGACTGGCCAGCGTATCGTGTCAACCAGAAATTAACAAAATGAAACTTTTCTACAAAAGACTGTGTTTGAACGTTCTGGCAGCCCCAAGACCAGCCCCTCCTTTCACATGAACCCTTACGATAATTCAAGACTTCCTACTAATTATTTATTGATGGCAACGGTGCTCATTCTGGCGACCTGACTAACCAGCGCGTCCATTCACAAAAAGCAGAATCATTCACTTTCAATGTCCTCTGACTAAATTACATCTTCTTTCACTACAGAAAACTTAAATGTCAACTACTCTTTAACCACCAGTTGACGATTCTAATCCAAATAAATAGCAAGTGAAGCATTATTACATAACAACATGAATTTCTAATAACAAACAGCTTCACGATGAGGGCAATATAAGACGAGGATAACTGCCTTCCAGTTCACATTATGACTTGACTGTCATACATGTCAAGGAACATACCATCCTGATGTATTAAGATGATATAGATGCAGATCATCCAGAAAATTGCAAGTTCCTTTATGGTATCTTTACCATTAAGATTAATGCTAAGGAAATATCTGTATTGAAGTCAGCCAGCGTTAGCGCTGACTGAAATCTTTCGAAATGGAGGAAGGGTGATCAGTTGGTAATTGACGAGGACAGCTCTTACATGTTGCTTTCTTCCCAGCCTCTCCTTCTCGGCATCTAGCTTCTCCCAACTCTTCCTCAGCTTGCCTTCCTCTTTTTCCAGGGCATTGCGGGCCGCCTCCGCCTCCTTCTGACGCTCCTCCAGCCCCTCGCTCGTCTCCCGCAGGGCGTTCTCTTGCTCCTCGTGTGCCCGATGCAGCTCCTCCCGTCGCTGGTCCAAGTCCCGCCGCATCTCCCGCATCTCTAGCTCAAAGTCCTGGGCCAGCCGGTCCTTCTCTGCCTCCCACTGGGACTGGAGTGCCAACTTTTCCTTCTTCTCCTGCAGAAAGGAGGGGGGGATGCAAACAGGCAGTCTCAGGACAGGCCAGCACTCCCTATCTTCCAATTCTGCTGGCCCTGGTTCAATTCCAGCCAGAGGCCACGGTTTCATAAGCATGCAATATATCCGGCAGCCGATTTCACAAAACGTGGCTGAACTTCGCACCAATGCATTTCAAGAAAAGTCTATTAGCTGCGCAACATTTTAATTAAATGAAACATCTTGGATGAGAACGATCACAACTTTCACGCCGACTGTGCCTTTTCGATATTTTACTGGTCATGAAACAGTCATTCAATTAGCTACGCCCACCATTTGAAATAGATTTCTTTGCCTTTTTCTTTGGAACCAGGCACAAAATCTCCAAGTTCTCTCACAGACAATACCCTTTTCAGACAGAACCTAACACAGGTTCCAAACCGACAGCTATATTGCTATTATCCACTCTTTCATCAACAGTTAAAGAAACTGCTGAACATTGACATGTTCCAGACTGCACGGGGCAAGCCACTGGTGTGTAGATTTTCTTCAGTTATTCGGTAAGTCAGAAACTGGTTATTTGGTTATCTGAGTAACTGTCCCAGCACTAATGCATACCAGTTCTTCCATTTCCCTCTTGGTCGTCTTCATGTTGCTCTCGTGTTCTCGTCTCATCTTCTCAAGTTCCTTCTTCTGTTCCTCTTTCATTTCCTGCTTACGCTCCTTCAAGACGTTCTCCATCTGCATAATAAAACATAAATATCAAACTTTGAAGGCCTGCCTGCAATCGACATAACCCCCATGCACTGCGCCACGGTCTTTGACTATGACAAGGGCAGATCAACATCAGGTCATGGGGGCCAGTGACACTATAACCTACCTCTCCTTCCATGTCCCGTACGGCAGACTGTTTCTCCCGTGAAAGTCGTAGCTTGTCCTCTTCTCTCCGTTTCTCCTCTGCCTGGGCTTCCTGCAATCTCGCTCTCACGTCGTCCATCTCCTGATCACAAAAAATCGAAACGGAACAATAATAAGGCAATAAACATGTGCTTGGCCGGTCTTAAACGTGCATTTAAGACCGGCTCAGGAGAATGGACGTTACTAAACGCGTTTGGTCTCCTGAGCTGGTCTGCATGTTCGTTTAAGACCAGGCAAGTGCATGTTTATTCTCATTCATAAATATCTTTTACTTCAGAGTCAAAAGAAGTCAAAATGTGATGGACTCTCAATGATTTCGTTCTAGAATCTTACTTTCATTTTACCAAACACCCCCGTCCATTTATGGTATAGTCCATGTGCAAGTTGTCCAAAAGAATCTCCTTATATGGACTTGGCACGTGCATGGCATGCAAGCAAAAAGACTCTTGCCTAATCGGAATCGATTAAACTGTCTTGCATCCAGGTGCCAGAGTGTGATTTATGCAGTGGGCATGATCCCTTCTCAGTGGGCATTATCAGATGTTAATACACGGTCAAGTTGCACATTGTTAAATTGGTAAACTGTCTGAAGATTTCATGAATTTATAATTAATCGTTTGAGAGGCCAGGCTATTATATCTGCCAACGTTCCTGCCACTGTTTCTACGCCATCCACTCTGACCAGAGCTACCCCCTCACCAGCAAAAGAACGACAGTCTGGAGGGGAACTATTTCAACTAGCTGCACTGTGATCACGCAAAGGCCATCAGTTTGAACAGAAAAAGGTCACACATGCTCGGCGTGAACCTGTGCGCACAGGCAGCGAGTTTCCACCAGCGAGAGGTCATTGCTGTCTGAGAAACAAACCATCTCTTGTTGCTGCACAGCACGAATAGATGAGGGATGCAACTGCTAAGGTTAAAGTTTTTAACTTTGGCTTGGTCTCTCCATCAACCAACACCTAGATGCAGAAGCCTCTGTCAAGAATGGATGCTACCCTGATAAGCAGGTGCATATGTGAGAACATGGTTGGGGATACTTCCATTCCTGTCAAATGATTGGTGTATTCATTTCCCCTCAGTTTAGGACTACAAAATTGAGATAAGTGACCCCTAGGTTCCTTTTTCTGTCCCCCCCCGACCATTTTTCTGAGGAAGTACATCAAGAGAATTGTTCTGGAAATGAGATAATTTCTACCTTCAGCGTTGCTCTCTCCTTGATCTGCCCATGAAAACCTGAACACCTTGTGGCATGCGCCTTTCCACTCACAAAATTACAGTATATAATGTGACCTTTGATCTTTGACCTCACCCTTTCATGCTTTTGCTTCATTTCCTTTGTCTTCTTTTCCAGCTCTGCGTCGTGTGCCTTCTGCAAGTCGGAGAGGGCTGTCCGCTCCTCGGACTCTAACTTGTGTCTCAGATCGTCCAAAACCTGTCAACAAAGACAACTGCTATTGGAAGCTTTTCTCTTGTACTTTTCACCAGAGTTTTGCTGAGTGTTTGTTATCTTGGTGGTAGATGCCAGTTAGTCAGTCCGCATAGTGCATAACCTGCTGCCATGGAATGAAGTTTTGAATCCTTTCGCTGAGCATTCAGTACCCTTATGGCATGTTGTCTTTGTTATGGCAATCTGGAGCAAGAACACAGTGGGCCTGTTTCTTTCACCTGGATATAGATCTCAATCACTGATGCTAAAAATGGTTCGCATCATCCACTACGTAGGTTTTGGAGTCAGTAAACCAATCAAGAATAGCTGATCTTGATTTGGATCCGTGCGAAACAAACACAGCCAGTGAACAGTGGTATTGCAGTGGAGACCTGTCAGCAGGTCAACGTAAGACCTCCTGTCTGAATTCAAGCCACGAGATATTCAAATGAACTTCAACAAAAACGTTCATCTGTCACCGGTCAAACTGGTACTTGGGACTGATCTTGCAAATGGTCTTGTTTATGGTCTCCACTTCAACACCGGTGAACGGTAGAAAAAAATGACCATTTAGATGAATATTTGCAAAGAAAACCTTCGAACAGTCTTGTATGATAAAATCTTCCAGGACTGCAAACTTCACACTGAGAATAGGTCCTAGTTCTTTTTCTTCATAATAAAAATGATATTTTTATCAAAGGACTCAAATTGCTGATAATGAAAAACAGAGCACAGAAACACTGGTGACAACATGGTGGAAAGGGCAGTTTGAGGCTGTGTAAGGAGTACATAATGGCTCACTTTGCCACTTCCTGAAGTTAAGACAAAGTCAAGTCAAAAACAGAGAGAGAGAGAGACCCCTTCATCCGAGGACACTTTAGGGGCAGAAGTAAACATAAATCTTGCTCAGACCGTCAAAATCTTGCTCAGACCGTCCGTGGAACAACACGTGTTGCGCAATAGTTAACACAAGAACCCAACTTGTACAATTACACCAAAGTCCCGGAAATCAGGCTAAAATTTTCGGGTGAAAAGAACACTTCCCAGCAAGGTGGTGCTAGTCTAATCATTAGGTCTGTTTTGACGTTACCTTTCTACTTTTGTCCTGTAGTTCCCTCCGTTCTGTCTCCTCCATCCCGCCCACCTCTTTCTTGATGGCATCCATCATCTTTTTCTTCTCCAGCTCCAGCTTGGCCGTCTCGTTCTCCTGCAAGTCTCGCACTTCGTCTCGCAGCGTCTTCAGGGTTTCGTCCATGTCGGCTCTGTGAACATTGGGTTGGCAGAAAATACCACTTTTTTCCCTCTGGTGTGGCTCATATCCTTGGTCATTTCACTTTCTGTTGTAAGTTGTTGAGAAGCACATGCCGTGTATTCTTTTGTGCAATTTTGTAAAGCGGTCCAAAAAGGTTGAAACACTGTTCTGAAGATGTGCTTCTATTTGCGTAAAAAGGGGGCGCGCCACGGACAATCCCAAGCTGTGCAAGGCTTTACACCATGTATACAGTGAAGTAATGAAACACGCAAGTCAGCTACCTGCACGTGGCAACCATTACTTTTCAACCACATCCCTGCTACATGTACATGTACGTGTGTCCATTATTAAAAGGACCAGTGCAAGACTTTTGCACATCAAATCTGGACAAAAAGTAGTACCTTTAATTTGCATTACTTAATACCTCATTAATACCTTGAGGTACCCCGGCATAAAATACCACGTGCTCACTTAAAAAGAAAATTTCCTTTTGAATAGACCTCTCTTTTCCTGCTTTTTCCACATTGATTTTGCATTGCATCTTTCCACTCTAACCTCCTCAGATCCCTATGAAATCCAGCGACAGGTTTTAAAGATTTTCTAGGATTAGGGGAGGTAGAGCCCAGCCAATATTCCTTTAAAATGGGAAGCAATGACCTTTGAAAGAATGTACTATTGATTTGCTCCATAATAGAAAGATTTCAGCCAATTCCAGAGGGTTCGCGGTAACACATGTACCTCCGGAGTTGAGAGTTTACAGGGTTCAGATGTACTTCTTAGCAATCTCAAGATAATCTTCCCACTTCTTTACCCCATCCAACCTACGGTGACGCTACTGACACAGATGGTTAGGGCATGATGCCTGGTCTGACCTTAGCTTGTCCTCTTGCTCCTGTTGGTCCTTGCGTATGGTCTCTTTGAGCTTCCTCATGGCGTCCGATTTGCCCTCCATTAGCATCGCCTCTTCTTCCTCCGTGTCCTCTTTGACTTTCTTCCTCAGCTCGCTACCAGAAAAGCAAAGGATGCGTTGAGTGTTACGCACTCTAGAGAAGATCTGTGCCATCTATAGGTATACAGTGAGCTAGTTTGGTATTTCGAAAAGCCAAGGTCTTTCGGGAACAAAGCGCACACGTAAGAGCAATGTATGGCTGCGCTGATAGGACAGACTAGGGCGCATGCCCATGGCTGCTCCCAAATAGCCTTGTAGTGGGCATGCGCTTTTGGAATAGCAAACTGGCTCACTGAACCGTGACACACTTTTCCAAACACAGTAAGTGTTGGGCTGACGTTAAGCATTTCAATTCAGGGGGTATCTTCAATCACAAGTGGATGGTATTATTTTGGTCAAAAATTGACCGAAAAAGGTTTGGTACAACGGTCAACTTGCGATACATGTATCTGCGTCGTTACTGGTCCTGACCTCACGGTATGACTGACCATCGGAGAACGCTCTTCTAGTGTAATGACAGTTTAAAAAAAAACAAAAAAAACCAAAAAAAAACGGCCTAATGCCACAAATACCAAATTGTTAGAGTCACTTGGCAATATGAATATATTTCATACTGACGCCTCATGTTTTATAACGCTGCCGGGCAACATCAGACCATGCACAGCAGTTAAATTTTATAACCCATGGTCTGCCTCTACAGACTTCATGAAATCTGTGTGTGTGTATATACATTCTCCTGCGACAAGTGGGTTGTGCATGTAGCTGCGTTAATCTGGGTACACTTTGTGTTGCGCAATTCAGCATGGCACTGCGGGTTCGAATCCCACCTCGGCAGGCGTTTGGAACTTATCAGCAGACATCACAGACAGCACTGAGCGTTCGTTGCTTTAAATGAACTTTGGGCAAAGAGGACATCCCATTTCTGACATGAAGAACCTCTGACGGGTGACCTCGAGGTCGAGCACGCTCACCGGATAGTCTTGTCTCTCTCCTTCTGCAGCTTCTCTGCCTCCTCCTCTTCCGTTTGCTCCGCCTCCTGCTTCAGCTTCCTCATTCTGTCCTCCTTGTCGTCCAGGAGCTCCAGCTTGGCGTCCTCCAACTCCTTCTCTAGCTTCTTCCTCATGTGGGCCAGGGAGGTCTCGTGGTCCTTGCGCAGCTTGGCTTCCTGCTCCTCCCGGTCTCTCTGGTACTCCTCACGTCTGGCCGAGGAGGAAAGCAAACAAAATTTGGAGGAAGTTTAGGCGCGAGGTCAAAACACAAACAGTCTCGAAACTGTCCCTCTTTCAATTGTTGGCTGGTTGGAGGGAACTTGTTCAAGGATTTCAAAGTAACTGTCCCTCTAGCACTGTCTGGCTTCACAGGCAACCGGTTACAACCGGTAACCGGTAACAATAGGCCCTGTAGCTTGACGGGTACTGTTTTAAAAGGTACAGTCCCCTATCTACAGCTGTCATTAGAGTACCACAACTGATGAAATTATTGCAGAAAAACATACTTCGTTTACAGCCATGGGACTATTGGCTCCCTAAGGAATCATTCTTCCATACAAGCTCTCTGAACAAAGCATATGAAAGACGGTAACTTCCAATGAGGTACCTAAAGATGCATCTTTGGAAATTGCCAATACCACATGCTCATTTTGAATTCGGCAAATTCCATGCAAGCGTTGACTTGATGCAGACGGGCAACTGCTATGATTTGTCAGTTTAGAGTGCAAAATGACATTGCTGCAATCAAAACTATCGAATATCTGGCAATGAGAGCCATCTTACTTCTTGGCTAGGCTCTCCTCCGTCTCGTTCTGCATCTCCTCTTCCCCGTCCTTCTCTAACCTCTCCCGTTTCTCGGCCAACGCCCTCAGATCGATCTCTGGCTCCGCCTCTCCTATGGCAGGCGCGGCCTCTGGCTTTGGATCAGCTGCGACAGTGGGCGTGTCTAGCACTGAGGTGACCTTGATGGCTGGCATCGCTGCCAGCGCGGCGGGTGGTTGCTTGGCCCCACCCGATTTCTCCTCTTTGGCATCATCCTTTTTGTTCGTCTCCTCTTTTTTGTTGCTTTTCAAGAACTTTGAAAGAGGTAGGAACAAATGTTAGAACGAGACAATGTCGAACTGAACTGTCTTCTCTTTGAGTACTTGTACCTGAGTGTTGTTGAATCTATGCTCTGTACATCAACCCTAAGCAGCAGGGGGGCAGATGACATCATTGGGCTACTTCCCATTTACATTTTTTCTGACAGAATCACAGTGCAGCTCTCACAGAGTTTTTCGAGTAATGTCTTTACACGGTACCTGCAATCAATTTATTTTAATGCAAACCTTCAAAATACATGTACACCTGTGTCACAGTTAACCTTATTTTCACCATTTGTTCACTATTTCAAAGGGTATTTTACTGCCCTTTTGGATGTTGCGTTAATGACTATTTCCATTTGTGACCAAAACTGTGGTGACATCTCGGGCGGAAAGCCTCGGGACTACACTGGCTTGTACTCAAAAAAGTCCTGCATTTTGGTAGATTTGGCTGGACTAAGGTTTCTCTTCTTTGCTGATTCATTGTTGTTTATGTGCATAGCAATAAGCAAGCATCAATCCCTTTCTCAGAAATATTTTCAGTAAGTAAATTCTGGGTTCACAGTTTCAACAGAAAAGCTTATGCACTAAACTATGTCTTCCTTGGATGACTTCACAGCAACAGCGCCCTCTCTTGTCCAGAAAAGGATGGATAATTCTTATTGTTTTAAGTCCACTTCGCAGAAAAGTTTTCAGTGAGTAAATTCTGGGCTCACAGTTAACAGAGAAGCCTATGCACTGAACAACACAGACTCACTCTTGATTTGATTGGCTCCGGTTCTTCGGCAACTGCAGGTGTGAGATCATCAGCATCCATCAGATTCAACCGACCAAAATCCTGCCGAGAAGAGTCCGGGGAAAGACATGCACAGCATATACACCTATTAAGCTGCCACACCTGACCAAAAGCTGTTTTCATAAGGCTAGGACGATATCTACTAAAAGTGCGGAAGTTCTTCTCTGTTGGATGTTCACCTTGGGAATCTAGGACTGGGCCAGTGAAGAACCCCATGCCCACCTACATGTGTGCTCAAGTGAACATAGATGCAGTTAATGACATAACATCCATTGATGTTGCTGCTTGAAGCCACTGGAGCGTTTTAGGTCACACATACAAGCAGCTTGACAAGAATACCCATACAAGACAAAAGCAGTAGTCATTTACTTCAGATCTTATAAATTCACCAAAAACTAAACCAGTACAGGTGTACGTATCTCAATTTGAAACTGATTAAATTGTCCTTTGTGCAAATGCAAACTTCTCCTTGATGAAAAAAAATGTTGCAAATTTTTTAACGTGCATTTTGAAGATGGGCCTCCATAGACACGAAGTACCAACTGCTAATGGAATAGAGCTTGGGCTCCCATGGTCTTTATTGGAGAACACAGTAAAATAGTAGAAATTGCAAATTTAATGTGATCTGCTCAAATCCAATCATAAGACAGAAACTGTGGGCTAGGTGCTATGATTTTTATCTCACTAGAAACCACGTTTGAGTTTTAAAACTCAGCACGTGTTGTGCAGTTCTGCATCAATTCAGAATGGTAGAGTGTAGCACGGTACATAGAGAGCAGTGTGGAATGTGTGGCACACCATATCCATGGCACCTCACCACTGTTGCCATGGATCGACCAATCGGGATCCACA